CAATACTTAAAACTAAGAACAATCTATCACAAGTACTATGTGGCTAATGTTAAATTTGCTGCTATTCCACATAAATAATCATCAACTGAATTAAAATCCTAATTCATTACCAAACGCTCATTATGTATATTATCACGCAAACTTATAATTCCATATAAAACAGTTAAGCTAAGTAACAGTAGATATAGAAAGCAAAGAACAGAAAAAATAAGATATGAAGGATGATGCAAGTACATTCTTCTTTAATGTCCTTTTTGAATGTGTCTGTTCTCTGTGAGACGAATTGTCTAATTATACAGCTGAGACGAAATGATGAACGGACAAATTTTCCGTGAGATAAATTGTCGGGGGACGAATATTATGCGAGACAAATAGACTGAGATGAATTGACGGAGACAAAAAAGACTGATACGAATTGTTATTGCACCAATTGAACAGGATTCTTTAACACACTCACTTTTCAAGTTTCTTTTCTAGGCACACCATGCAGGCACTTTTACATGCGTTCATGCGATATATCTTGCAAATCGTTCACTTTGCATAGCCTACGGAATTTTTTCCTTTCTGTTATCACTTGTAATACACAAGGTATCTTAATACACAAACCCTGCAAGGTCCGTAGGATTTTTTCGTGATGATAAAAAGTAGTAGCTTGTGGATTTTGTTCGCCATGTCTATCTTGCGGCATTCTGCAATGTTTTCACATCAGTGTCTGTGCAGGGTGACCGTGGACGAACTTGTCTGTGTTTTTTATTTTTGGAAAGTTAAGTACTTTTACATCTTTTCTTGTAAAGTCATAAAAGCCTTTCTCGTGTCGAATAAACTTCCGGAAAATGTATGCCTTAATATTTTTAACTATAACTTTTTAATGTTTTATCGAAGTTTTCAAATTATATACCATTCACCAGAGTATTCAGAGGGATTACTCTCATCTAGTCTCACACTCGTTTGGTCCGGTTTATTTTCTAGCATTCTAACTATTCATTTTTTTTCTATCAACTGTATACTAATCAATATTAATATAATTCATTAGGATAATGTAAGAAATTGATAGACGTCTTTATAAATTACATTTATTATTTTATTTAGCAATTACAATGAAACAGGTAATTTTAAAGTATTAACACATTTGCCACATTTAGTTGCACGTTCAGTTCCTGACAAAGTACCATTTTCATATCGTGTAAAATATTCCTTCAATTTATTATCACAATTGTTGTAAACTTTTACTCTCTCGTTTCGTCAGATCCTTGCCATTGTTTCATTCATGAATATTGTTTCTTTGCAAAAGCTTTTCCATTAAACAATTCTCGAACTTATTGATGGAAAAAAATAGAATATTCCTGACATAAAAAGATCTTTTCAGTTATCTATTAATACTTTGATTTTGTACAGATGAAAATGCGTGTTAAAGTCAAAATATTAAGGTATACGTTTTCTAGAAGTTTATTGGACACGAGAAAAGTTTTTATAACTTTATAAGAAAAAAGTACTTAACTTTCCAAAAAAAAAAATACAGACAAGTTCCGCCACCGTCACTCTGGACAGAAATTGGTGAGAAAAGATTGCTGGACAGGCGTGGAGAACAAAATCGTTTCTTCAACCAACAAAATTCTGCCAGATATTGTAGGAATAAACTTGTGGATTGAATAAGTCCAGAAGTCTTGCGATGTTTCGTACCTTTACGCAGGATTTTTTCCATGCTGACCCTACGTAAACTATGCAGGGTTCTGTCAGGCCTGGCAGCATAAAAATCCTACGTAAAGGTAAGAAACATCTCCAGATATTTTATTATCGATAGCCCGCGGGATCCTGCATGAATTTTGATTATTTTTATCAGTGGGTAGTAGGACATGACTATCCTTCATTTATTTTAGTTTTGGGTTGGAGTTACCTTTCTGGAACACTTTTTCTAACGTGAATATCTGACGGACTGGTTTACCCTTAACCAAGAACAAACTTCGGTTAAGCAGTAGCTAATTGGATAACCAAATAAAACCGTGATTATTATCCGCGCCAAAATACAGCGCAGGTTCTTGTTGGCTAGATAAATTCCATGTTTATCTACACGTGCATATATATATGCGCTGATTGCGCTGCTATTGTACGGTTTGACTAAAAAAAGTCAACAAAATGATTAAAAAAAAGGATCCCAGTATCATACTATGACTTTCATAGTTTCACAGTATCACAGTAATACTGTGAATTTCATACTATTACTATCAGTTTCATAGTATCACAGTATCATAGGATGACTTTCATAGTTTCATACTGTGCTGTGCTCTGCTGTGCTACCGTGAAACTATGAAACTATGAAAGTCATCCTATGATAGCGCAATACTATGAAAGTCATAACATTACTATGAAATTCACAGTATTACTGTGATACTGTGAAAGTCATACTATGATACTGTGAAACTATGAAAGTTATGCTATGGTACTGTGATACTGCGAAAACGTGAAAGCATGTTTGTGTGTTATTGGTATGATAAGTCGATACTGTGAATTTATGTTTATACTATAGACCTTCGCTGTATCAATTGACAGCTATGGCAATATCAGAGTTAATTGTTCAAGATTTTAAAGTGACTCAAAAATCATTTGAGTAGCCATTGAGTTTGTTCGAACATTAGTTATAGAATATGCGTACATCTGTGTCCATCAATCTCTCTTTGAATAGTAGGTGTTTCTCTTCCGTTTGAATATGTCCGTTTCAAATGAAAAGTTGGTTTTCTCAAGTTTCAACACTTGAATTTATTGGAATTTTTCCACTTTATATGTTGACTTCTAAGAAGTAAGAATAAATAGAAGATCTTGTCCAGTTTTCAACTCGTTCGATCAATATTTAATTGATCCAGAGGAAAGATCAACGAGACACAAAAATGAAAATAAGAGAATATCTGAATCTTCAACAAAAACTTTTACACATTTTTTTAAAACTTCATAACGCATCATGCGAACGTTACTAAGGTCTAAAAACTTGGATATAGATGTAACTTTAGACGAACAATCAAACGCGTGAGCGTACTCTCAAAACACTGTCTCGAACTTTTAGCTAAAGGAAGAGATCAGTTGAAACGAACCCCCGTCTGTTAGGAAAAGAGTCTCACAGAAGCGCAAAAGGCAAAGAGAAATCTAGTCACGGCCTAAGATAAATGACTGTAATGAATGAATGTATTGAGTCCAAAATCAAAGAAGTCCAAAAAGATATGACAAATCAGTAAAATGATAAATCGCCGAAAAAACAATAACCGAGAAGATCAAAGTGAATAAAAACAAGGTTATTTAAAATGTGACACTCGACCTTCGAAAAAGAAGATCACTGAGTTAGCGCTGACTACAGCCGTTAGTGGTCGCCGTCACTTCCCCGCAGCATGAAGGCGAATCTTCTTACAAGAAACGATTTGTTATAGTGTTTACTATACTATTATTGTCCACAGCTACTTATTCATTTATTTAGAAAATGATACTACTTGCACAGTTAAAAAGAAACCGAGATTTTTCCATACATCATCCTGAAACACGCTGCGGATACAGAGAGCAGCGATACACTTATCGAACTGGAAAGGACAAAACCCTTGATTATTGAATTCTATCTTTCATTTTATGCTGAAGGTTATTCCGTACTCAAGAAATTACATGACTTGAACACAGATACTGCTTGTTCCTGCTCATAGCGGCGAGCAAGGTCCTGCGTCTGCTACGAGTACTGTAGGAGAGACTTCATGAGCCAAACTTCATGAACCATGCTACTGACTTGATAAACGATCGTAAAACTATCCTTTATTTTCAACTTTTATCAAAATAAATGTCTGCTTTTCGAAAATATACTTTTTATCTCTACAGGAAAATCTATGAAAAACGGAGGTTAAAATCATGAAAGTATATTCTTATGTATCTTTTCATGAGTATTAGATATTTGATTTTGGTTTTTGTTAGAGAAATACACCACTCTTTTTAATAACCTTTTTACAAGAAATGATTTCTTATCGTGTTTATTACACTATATTCTCCACAGCTATTTATTTTAGAAACTGTTACTAAGTGCACAGTCAAACATCATTTCTCTTCGTCATTGAGAGAAGGTCTTTATTTTCAGTTCAGATATTAGTTTTCATGTGTAACTAACTATACCAATTAATCTACATCAACGGTTTTTTCCGTCAGTTACGTATTCTTCTTTATACGATGTGAGAGTTGCTTTTCTTTCATTTTCTCTGTTTTATTTCTCTTCTTCTATAGAGAGAGAAAAGTACTTGATTTGTCCTTATTGTCCTTGATGGTGCAAGGTTATTGAAATGTCAACTAAATTTCGACATATAGGATGCATAACAAAAGATGACGCGTAAATAGTTTCAATAAGTAATAGAGAATCACCTAAATGTTTGATGACCACCAATCCTTATCAAACGAAGCGAAAACAGTTCGACACTATAGCATCTATGTGTCGTTGAAGATAGATATTATTCTGATGTGCATGCGAGAGCTCAAATGTGAAAGTTACTTTAACATGGCTGGATTCAGTCTAATATTCCGATTTTCATGAGTATTTTCGAGTGATAGATGTAACTCCCAACATCATCCCTGTCGATGTGTTTCTCGAATATTAAAGTAACTTATATGCTGATGAAAGCGTGTTTAGATGTGATAAACGCAAGATACAACAAATTCATTACTTTATAGATTGAATAGAATAATTTAGATTAATGAAAACTGTGTTCAATGATAGTTCGTTTCATCATGAAAGATACACGATACTAATATACAGTAAAGTCGCACGCATATAGATTTTCATAGAATAATTTCTGTTACTGGAGAGAAGAACACCGAAACGATCCAGACCAAAAATGGCAGCTAAAGTATGACAGGTCATTACTAGAATAAAATCTAAGCCAGACTGCCATCGCGATTGAACTCTGTGTTATCATCCTTCGAATCGTCCGAGAACAGATAAGTGAGCCGCTTTCTTGATAAAAAATTCAAGTAAAGTCACAAAGTCTTCAACTACAGCTCGTTGGAAGAACTTCCGAAGGAGTAGCAGCTTGTGCTGGTTGCTGTTGTTCTCTTCTCTGTAGTTCTTGTTTAATTAAAGCTTGCTGGACATGAAGTGGAAGACCTGGATTGAGACTAAGAGAGAATGGTAACATAAGCTTTGATGTCTCACATAAATCGACAATGATTTTGATGAACATTGTATCATCTCTAACATATGGATTATTGTCCTGCATTATCATTGATAGAGGAAAAAACTTTGGAATACCGCTGGCTATATTCATTTCTGAACCAGGCTGTTGGAAACTGTTCGATTTCGTATCGGGCCGAAATGAATCGATAACATGACGATTTTGTTGCGTTTGATCAAAGAGACAAAATGTCACCTTATAATTAAATGGCCAGCATAGAATGGAATCATATTCGCCTCGCATTAGAAGGAAAAATAAAGACATGTGGGTATGTCTAGCGTTTCCATCTCCGTTTAAATAGAGCCTGGCTCTCATTTTATATCCCGTAGGTGAACTGTAAAAGGGAGGAGAGTATATAGATGCCTGCCTTCCAGATTGGGCATCTGTCATTTTCTCACTAATACAGTCAATTCTCCAAATGAGGGTACCGTCCTTTGATAATACTTTCATATCTTCAATGACTAAATTCATTGAAGTAATATCTTGATGAAGAATTTCTTCTTGCGGTCGTAAACCGCTTAGTACATAGTTTTTTTCTTCAATTGCTTGTTTTACTTGACTGAGTTCCTTCTCAGCTGTTTGTATTAAATTAGTATTTCTAATCGATTCTTCACTTAATCGTACTGAATCAACCGTCAGCGTTTGAACGCCCTGGTTAAATATATTGAGTGTTTGATAATATTTTTGTAAGTCTATATAAAGTTCGGTGCCCGATATATGAGGCTCCAATTCCATTATTAAACCACTTCTGTTCGAAAATGTTTCACTTAGTTTTAGTGTCTTCAGTAGTGTTGACTGGTGTTGTTCACTTAATAAATGTTCACCAAACTCAGACTGAATAATCTGAATAAGAAATATACAAAGACTAGCAAAGTGTTTCGAATTATTCTTGAAATTGTTATCTTACATTGGTCGAACAACAACCGTATTTTGATAATGGACACTCAACAGATGCTTTTTCACAGTGTTCTAATTTGTGTTCATTCAGCGTCACTATATCGGAAAATCTTTCCTTACGATAATCACATATCAAATTTGAATGAGATTGATCAATATGAGTCTGAAATGAACAGAAGATCTTGATCCAGATCTTACTCTTTGTAGTAAGCTTGCGTACATACCTGATAATCTTTTAATCTTCCTGACCATTGACATCCTTGAATTTTTCTATAACAAATGACAGTTAATTGTTCTATATCTCGCTTGAAACCACGATCAATGATAACATCGGATTTTGTTGCGACTTTCTTACATGAAGGACATCGGAACTCTGTCTCCAATCTAAAGAAGTATAAATTAAGATTTGTACAACGTTGACTGATGGTATACATAGCAGTACTTGCCCAATATTTGAATTAAGACAATTTTGACATGTTCTATCTCCACAACTTAAGATTTGCACTGGTTCTCGAATAAGTAGTCGACATAATGGACAAATATATTTGACGTCAACTGTATCCCGATTTGCTATATAGTAACCGTGAGACTGGAAAATAAAAAAATGACAATAGATAAAATAAAATAACCAATACCGATAAAAACTTACTCGCTGTTGTTGATCACTCAATGACATTTAGTAATAACTTTAGGTAGAATAAAATTTATCTCTCTTAATAAAAATAAAATATGGCAGTTGCCTATCATCAGCTGAAAAAAAGAAAAGCAAGCAAAGATTCAAGAGATTCAGAGATGCAAGATTCAAGAGCTAGCTGATCATTTAATTTTAGACGCGCAACTGATCACTGATCACGAAACAAAATGAGACGTCTCCGAGCTTTCTACAGACTTTTCTCGTGAAACAGCATTCAATTTACAGAAGACCTTAGAGCGTATCTTTCTTGTTCACCTGTTAATTTTACTGATTTTAGTGATACAGGACCTTTCATAAATTGAGTTCTGTTTCATACGAAAAGCTCGGAGACGTCTCATTTTATTGAGAAATGTTTACTCCATGCGATGGAGTTACTTAAAGAGGTTTTAGATAGAACCATGCCATTCATATGTTATTTTCTAATATGAGGATCACAACGTAGTAGACATCCTTATTTGATACGATTAGATAAGATTGCGAGTGAAACTTCTGTCTTGTTCATCCCAAAACTTTTCTAACAGGTACAACCGTGTATTTCGCCTTCATGTGTCGATACTTTGGAATGATCATTTTTCCCGTCGGTGATCATTCAATGACATTTAGTAACTTTAAGTAGAATAAAATTTATCTCGCTTAATAAAAATAAAATTAAATATGGCAGTTGTCTGTTCAGTATCATCAGCCGAAAAAAAGAAAAGCATGCAAATATTCAAGAGGTTAACAGTTCGAATTAGTTAGACACTCAACTAATCTTTTAAAAAGCAGCGTGTTTCACATATTTCATGCGATATAACACAGAACAAACGTTCGAAAGAAAAAAATTTCTCTTGAAAAAAGAAAAAAATGGTCTTTGTCGTAGTTCTAATAAACAAAACTGAAAGAAAAAAAGAAAAGAGTTTTTGGTGCATCCAAACTTCATCCTATCGCATTGCTTGTTCCTTTCACATCAAAGAAAGGGGGGGATCATTTTTCTATCTAACAGGATAACTGGAACAAACTTCTGCAACAAGTCAATAGCAATCCTGATCCTGCTAACACTTTCAATGTTATTGTTGTTTCTCTATCAGTCTTTAAAGCTCGCCTATGCGCTCATCTCTGTTATCAAATGTAATGTTTATTGTTCTGTTGGGTGTTCGAAACGGTTCTTCTAGCTTTCGTTGCTGTTTATTGTACTTTGTCTTTTTTGTGTATTCATATTTGGAAAGACTTTTGGTAACAGTATTTAAACGCCTGGGGTTTTTCCTGTTTCCCAGCTTAGATCCCGTAGGTGAACTGTAAAAGGGAGGAGAGTATACAGATGCCTGCCTTCCAGATTGGGCATCTGTCATTTCCTCACTAATACGATCAGTTCTCCAAATGAGAGTGCCGTCCTTCGATAATAGATTCATATCTTCAATGACTAAATTCATTGAAGTAATATCTTGATGAAGAATTTCTTCTTGTTTCTTTAATTTGTATCCGGATTGATATATACGAGGCGTGAGAGTGGAAAAGAAAAAATGACAATTGCAAAAATGAAATAATCAATAATCGTGAAACTGTCAGAAGGCAGCACTTTAGGCATCGTACGCCTTTTACGAGCCATTAATGATAAGGCAGTCTAATGCTACCCAGTGGACTCTCTCAGATTTCGTTTTGTTGTACTGCAAGTTGTTGCGTTGCAGAGATATTCAATTTTTACGAAAAGTCTCAAAAAACTAATATTCCGTCGTCTTGAAAAGTTGTCAACTTAAAATACGTGTAACTTCGTAATGACATATGACTTAGAATAATCAACTTTATCATGGATA